GGTTTTTTTTGGGGGGGGGGGTATGTGTGTTAGCAACACACACACACACACACACACACACTTAGTTTCTTTTATTAGATAAAAGCAGGATTCCTTGGAGAATGTAAATTAACTTTTTTTTTTTTTTTCAATCAAACTCACTTCCCAAAAAATATAAATAAGATTTTTTTTTTTTTTTTTTATGAATAATGAATTTTCTTTTTTTTTTTTTTTTTTTTTTTTAATATATAAATCTTTTAAAATTCTGCATTACTTTCATCTGGTTAAGTGATGTAGTTATTAAGTGAAAACTATTTACTAATCAAAAATTGAAAAGCTTAATACATTTTGCACCAAGATTTTTAAAATAATTTTTTAAATTTTTTTTTATATGTATAAAATATTATGTAACGTAACCATTTTTGAAATTATGGTCAATCATACGTAACATTAGCAGAAAACAAGTGATGACAATAGTAAATTTAAAGGCGACATTCCTAAAATTAGATTACGTAGAATATTTTGCAACATTTTTTAAGATTACTGAGTACTTAAAAATGATATAAAAAAAAGGAGCTCACCTGTCATTTTCTTAAATTATGTTTTAACAGATAAAGTCTCCATAGAACAACAATAAAACTGTCAACACCTTTATCAGCACTTGTTTCGTGATTGACGAGCGATGACAAGTACGTAATCACTGATACTGTTTGTTTTAAAAATCCATTTCTCTGTTATTTTAAACTTAAAGTAAATATTTTTTTGAAATCAGATTAATTATACATTAAATCAGCTAATATTCCTTAAATAAAGTTTCAGAAAAGTATATTTTATTTTTGGAAGTTTTTTTTTTAATACAGAGAATTACATTGTGATGGAAGATGACTAAAAAAGGGCACTAATAAGCTATTTTAGAAGGAATTAAAAAAAAAAAAAAATCTATTTCAATCAATATAATTTCTGTTTGAAATGCACCAGAGTATTTTGCTTACGGGAAATTTAATCCTTTAGCTTTCAATGAAATCTTCAAGAAAGCTTTTTCCATTTATAAAAACTCATTTTAAACCTTAGGTGTCAAAAATTAGTGGAGGTATCTACTTCAAACTCTTTCTTTGGGAAACCTGTTTCTCTTGCTCTATAGGAAACCATACTTCAATATAAACAGCATAAAGGAGCTCTTTGAAAGAGCAAGGATGGATGATATAATACCATGTCTCAAAAGAGTGCATTTATACCAAAAAATATAAACCAAGCAGTTAAGAAAATGTATATCTAAACTAATCAAAGTAGTTGATAGCATTTGATTGTGAGAAGAAAAAAAAAAAGACGAAACAATAAGTTTGTGTAAAAAAAAAAAAAAAAAAGGTTGATACAATATTGTTGAGGGGGTGGAAAAAAACAAAAAAATTTAATTTTATGAAATATAAGAATGTCTCAGCTTTAAATAACTCATGAGGGGTTGATAAGCCATAAAACAACAAACCAATCAAGTCCAGTCGCTGTTATCACTCTTTCTAGCACTGACGGGGAAGGGGTTTCCTTCATAACATTTTATTTGAAGTGGTGTGGAATGTTAACATCTTGATTTTTTTTTTTTTTTCATTGTTTTCTCCTTTAGCTAAATGTGCTAGACATTTTACTTGTTGCTGCTGTTGGTAGTCTTAAGTGATGTGGTTTCTCTTATTTGGTACAGTTCTTTGTGATTCTGTTGTGCTATTCCACAATGGTTAAAGAATGACCATTGCCAATACCCTCAGGTTTTACTTTCTCCAATGTGTGTATTTGTGCAATTCATTGAATGTGACAGACAAGAAGAAAGTATTTTTTTATGAAATTTTTCTAATGTTCTTAGTTTTTTGTTTTTTTTTTTTTCCGGGAAGCCAATAGTACAGAAACTGTCTATAATGATTATCGTTCCAAATGTTTCCAGCCAATTCATTAACCATTTTCAAAGTGTTTACTGTTAATATTTTCTAAACTTGTGTGGACGTAATAGTAATTCTAAAGCATGCTAGGAGAAATGTAATTGTTATTCCATGTTAGGGAGTCTTTTAAAAGACTGCCAACATGTTACTGCAATTGTTAAAAAAGGTAAGTTTATAACTACAATTTTCCTCGTTTCTCAAGTTTAATGAAATGTGTATAAAAGAGAGATTGCTGCTCAAATAAAAGGAGGAAATGATGTAAAATGAAAACAAACAAAAAAACAACCTTCACCAATATAAAATGACTCTTTCAAAAATTCCAATTCATCTTTTTGCCTATTAGACATTGGGCTATATGCCTGCCTTGGGGATTTCATGATCACCATTAAGGGGTTTAGTTAACTTTTGTATAATGAAGTCTTATGACCCCTGACAGAATACATTATTTTTGGAATCTTTAAATCTTGTCTCTATCTCGCCGTCCCCGGCTCTCTATCTCGCCGTCCCCGGCTCTCTATCTCGCCGTCCCCGGCTCTCTATCTCGCCGTCCCCGGCTCTCTACCTCGCCGTCCCCGGCTCTCTATCTCGCCGTCCCCGGCTCTCTATCTCGCCGTCCCCGGCTCTCTCCACAAAAAATGTTTTTTTAGGTCAAGAATCTGTCTGCCTTTTTACTTGTGTAGAACTCAGCTATCCAATTAAGGTTTTTAACCCTCCACCAACTTTTTTTTTTTTTCCCTTCTATTTGAATAAGATTTACTCTAACACCGCTCCCAGCCACCTCTCAACTTTTTCAACAAAAATTGCCAAATAAAAAAAATTAAAATACATGTCTTATTTAAAATCTTGCAGCACCGAATAAAATTAAAATCATCTGACATCTCCAGGTTTTTATCTTTTAAAGAAATAACAAATATTTAGTATATCCAACTCTGTGGCCTTGTGGATGATGAATTATTTTTATACCCTATAACCCCATCATTTTAGGTCATCAATATCTAACTGACAATTGATTGTGAAGTAACTGATGAAAGTCTAGTTTTTACTTTTTCAGATGCTTTAAATCTTGTTTGTAAGCAACAAGCACTGGCCTAAAACTATTGGCCTTACTTGCTGGATTTTGAAAGTCCATTGAAACACGGTTTTAGGTCAAGAATTTGTTATCCTTCACTTAAATGGCATAAAATAAACTGCTATTTGCTGAACGGTGTAAAATCAATAAGGCCAAGGTATATCTGTTTATTACAATTAAACATTATTACAACAGGTAACGGACTATGCAGTAAATAAATGTTGAAAACAAAAGACTGTTCTTGTACCACTGATATCTGATACTCACGGGACAGATTGAAGGCGAGTGAGACAGGAGAACAACACATAGCCTACATAATGAGGAAAGAGGGCTTGGAAAATCTGATACTCATAGGACAGATTGAAGGCAAGAGGGACAGAGAACAATGCATAATCTACATAATGAGGAAAGAGGGCTTGGAAAATCTGATACTCATAGGACAGATTGAAGGCAAGAGGGACAAAGAACAATGCATAATCTACATAATGAGGAAAGAGGGCTTGGAAAATCTGATACTCATAGGACAGATTGAGGGCAAGAGGGACAAAGGAGAACAATGCATAATCTACATAATGAGGAAAGAGGGCTTGGAAAATATGATACTCACGGGGCAGATTAAAGGCAAGAGGGACAAAGGAGAACAATGCATAAGATACTTAGTGAGTATCTAGTAGTAAATGGATGGCAGGACAGGAAATTGTGGAGAGCTATGATCTTAAGGGGACACAGCATATGAAGAAGAACTTTGACAGATTTTTTTTATGCCACTTTGTGCACAAACTTTTTTGTCAACGCATTCCCCCTTCCCCCCTCTCATCAAATTAAATTTTAAGTATTATAGTAAATTCATCTTTCAAAGCAAGATAACATTTAGGTATTAGTGCAAAAATAATTTTAATATTGTTTTCATTTCTATTATAAATGCCAATGATTGAAATGCTAAACAACTTTTATTTGATAGCTTATCTTCTCAATGTTCTCAATGGAATGGTTGACTTTGGTGCTTATTGGCTAAGGCTTTTACTCAAGGTTCCATGCTGCTTGGAAGTAATTGTAGATCTTTGTGTTTTGTAATTTGCAGGTGGTTTCTTTGTTTAGTAAGAAGATGTGTAACTATGTTGAAACTACAGTCAGCCATATAGGAAGTTGGAAAAACAATGAAGAAAAGTTTGATAGTTTTCCACAGCTTTAGGTACCTTTTCAGAAATTTCCTTTTGTAGCCAATATTGAATATTTTTGGAAAAATTTTTTTTGGGGGGAATGGATAAATGCCCACTGCCCCCAAGTATCCCCCCCTCAATGAAATAAAAAAAAAAAAACTCCCAGTGCCCCCCCCTTTCAATATAATCCTGATCTTGGGAAACCCTGGTCTAGAGACTCTTTGAATAAGCTTTTACTTTTCAAATTGGTAACACTGATTATTTTTCTCTTCTCATTTTTTGACTGTTTCAACCCCAAAATGCCATGAAAAGAAATCGCATGATTATTAAAAGAAATCTCTCTATATATGGAAAAGCAATGAAGCAAAGTTTGATCACTTCCCACAGCTTTAGGTACCTTTCAGAAATTTCCTTTTGTAGCCAATATTGAATAATTTTTGAAAATTTGAGAAAAAAAAATGGATAAATGCCCACTTATCCCCAGTTTTTTCCCTCCCAATGAAATAAAAAAAATCCCAGTGCCCTCTTTCAATATAACAGAATCTACAAGGTGGGTGCTAATGTCCACGCTGGAAACCCTGGTCTAGAGACTCTTTGAATAAGCTTTACTTTTTCAAATTAGTAACACTGATTACTTTTCTCTTCTCACTACTTAACTGTTTCAACCCCAAAATGCCATGAAATAAAATTGCATGATTATTAATATCTATCAAATTTTGTAACTTGTGTTAGCTTGTCTGTCACACCCTCTTAAATATCAGAACCAAGTTTTGAGAAGTGCATACAGGTAAAATGGTGGGTACAAAGTACAGTTGGTTTTACAAGGGTGTGTAGTTTAGTACAGTAAATTTTCATTAATTTTTTTTATTTTTTCTAAAAATAAAAAGCTTTATCAGTCAACATGCAAAATACATCCACTATTTTAATGATTAAAATAACAAATACTTTTTCAATAAAAATGCAATATTGTTTTTTACATATCTTTTTTAAGTTTTTATATATACAAGAATCCAGTTTCCAGTTCGCCCTGCATTTGTGAGAACTATAAACAAATCACAAGTCAAATGCTTCAAAAAGTTGGAATTTGGCTCCAGAAAGAAATATTTATGCATGGCCAGTTGTATGTTGCATGCTCAAGAATAAGAAATCCTAAGAATTTATTCTTTGCTGGTAAAAAGGAAAAAAAAAATTTTCATAAAAAAATATTGTTTACCATGAAGTCCTGTAAAATTAAAGAAATTATTAAACAACGAAATAGGGTTTTTGTCAAAATATTTTTCTGGGTAAGCTTATTCAAATTTCATTGATTGGTTTGCAAAATTGAACTAAGCATACAGTTTGTAAATCTTAACAAAAAATGTTCGTGATAACTTCAACAAGATTAAATACTGTGAGGATTTCAACATGTTGGTGTGTTGCAAAAAAGTTCTAGTTGAACCAAAAAGCACAAAAAAAAATTGCTAATTTGTATTTAAGAAAATGATTTTAGAATTATTCACCATGTTGCCAATTTGCAGATTTTAATGCTTATTTCTCTTTCAGACTTTCTATGTTGATTTGACCAGAATTGCTATAATTCTACAGAAAACTTTCTTTCAGTTCATATATAAAAAATACATATTTTATGTCTATTTGGAAAGTGAAGGTGTCAAAACCAGAATTTCTCTTGGATGGGTGACATTCTTCAATATCAGTCTCCACCCATTCATCTTCATCAGCTACATCATAGACATTTCATCATGGGATACTCTTCTACAAAACCAGTACATATACTGGCATTATTACATCCACTTCTTATTGCTGACTGTTCAGTTTACAATCTCCATTGCACTCTCTGGATCAGACAACTTAAGTCTTCAAATTAATAAATTCTCCAGTATTGTCCATCTTCCAGTCATGGCCTTTCAATTGAAATTCAACAATATATTCTATTTAGTCATTATCACTTCATTTGCTGTACAAAAATTTTATCCTACCACTGAAGGTAATTCTGGTCCCTGAACAATACTGTTTGGATTTTATAGTTGTGTTGTCGTATCCTGCTATGGCAACAGAAACCAAAGTGAAATTAACAATAAGGATACTGCAATTAAGAGGCCTTGAAAAAGAATGCAGTGGAAAGGGAAGTTATAATTATAATGCAGAGTGCTAAAGGTTAAGAGAGCAGCTAACAACTGTCTTCACACTAATTTTTGAGTTTTTTTATTTGGGTATTTTTTTTTAAGATGGAGTGTTTATTTCTATGCATGATCTTGCAATATTGAATGAAACCTCAACTGATTTGACATTTCCAGGGATTTATACTTAAAAAAATATAAATTACAATAATATTTGAGTGCTACAAAATTTCAAGATAGCCTGAATTAATGGATACATCCATATAATTGTGCTTGTCCATTCCTTCACATTACTATTAAGTCCTGCCAGTACCACATAAATATTTGATTGCCTGAAAAGAGGAGAAAAGACATGACTTGGTTTCAGTGAGAAAATGAAAGAAAGAAGGGGTCATAGAAGTGTTTAACATCTGCCAATTCCTCATAAGTAATGGATATACCATTTAGGTTGTGTGGAAAGAGGGGGAAAGATATTACTTAGTTTCAGTGAGAAAATGAAAGAAAATAGAAGGAAGATAGAAAATGTTTACTGTCTCATGCCAATACCTCAAAAATAGTAGATTATTCCATTTTGATTGTATGGAAGGACAAAACACATCACTGACATTACTTGGTTTCATTGAGAAAGAAAGGGAAGATAAGTCTTTAATGGCTGTTTCAGTGAAATGGAAAAAGTTGTCAATTTCAAATCTTTTCATTTGTACCCATTTCTTAAAATAATGACCAGTATCCATATTTATAACTGTTATTGCAATAATTTGCTGGAGTTAAGTGCAAATATTTTATGATGTGATAGGGGAATTTCTATAGATATTTTATTGTCATAAAACCCACCATGAGCTTATTCAATCATTAAGTGAAGAATTAAGATTCATCAGAAAATTCAAATAGGTAAACCATGAAATTTTCCCCAGGTTTTTCTCTGTGTTTTCCTCTTATGCTGTTTCAGAAAGAAAGAATTAAAGCTAAAATTGGAGAGATTAAGCTGATAACAGATACTACACTTTGATTCTAACCAAAAGTCCGAGAAGGGTGGTACAAACAATATGTGCTTTTATGAAATTGTTATTGCAATATTTTGTTAAAGTTGTTAAGCTTAAATATTTAACAGTGTGATATGGGAATTTCTACGGATATTTTATTGTCGTAGAATTTGCCATCATTAACTTAAGATTCATCAGAAAATTCATATTCTTTCTCATATTTAATTAATGCAGTCCCCTACCTTCATTTTGGTTGACTCTCATCAGAGGAAACTGTCAACACAAAAAAAAAAAAAAATGTGAAATCTGGGGTACCAA